AGAGAAGTTAATGACGTCATATTTTTTGGAAATTTCTCTCTTTCTCTCTTACTCTTATGGAGAAAGTAAAAATTTTCAAAACACACTGCAAAAAGAAGTATCTTATTTAAGATGTTTTGGTAGTCATTTCTAAGATGTTATTATTGTAGTCACTTTTTAGTCATTTAAAATATCTTAATTTAAGATGTTTAAAGTATCTTCGTACACATTTTCACCATATTTTTTGGAGAAAAAGTTTTGAGGTTAACTATGGGCTTATATGTAAGACATTTTATGCATCTTAGTTTTTAGTAACTTAAATTTTTTTCGCATCTTACAATTCACAAGTATCTTATCGCTAAACATCTTATTGAGACAGAAACATCTTAATTTAAGATACTTTAAAAAACTTACAGAAGTATCTTACTTTTTTAAGACAGAAGAAATATCTAAGACGTATAAAACATCTTAAAAATCAGTAAGATACTTTAGAAAACATCTTATTTTAAGATGTAAGATACCATTTTTCCATCTTACATCTTATTTTAAGATATCAAATAAGACACTTATTTTTGCAGTGCAGTTACAAAAATTATTTCTATTTCTAGCAGGAAATAAACAAAACAAAAGTATGACGTTGCGGAGATAATGACGTCATATTTTTTTGGAAATTTTCTTTCTCTCTCACTCTTATGGAGAAAGTAAAATTTTTCAAAAATACTGAAAAATTATTTCTATTTCTCGCAGAAAATAAACGCAGGACAAAAATAATGACGTAGACAAGATAATGACGTCATACTTTTTGGAATTCTCATTCTCATTCATTCTTATGGAGAACATAAAATTAAAAAAAAAATTACAAAAATTATTTCTATTTCCTTCAGGAAATAAACAAAACAATAGAAATGAGAGGAGATAATGACGTCCTTTTTTCGAAAATTTCTCTCTTTCTCTCTCACTCTTATAGAGAAAGTAAAAATTTTCAAAAATATTGCAAATTTTTTTTCTATTTCTCGCAGGAAATAAACAAAGCAAAAACAATGACTTAGAAGAGATAATGACGTCATATTTTTTTGGAAATTTCTCTTTCTCTCTCACTCTTATAGGGAGAAAGTAAAAATTTTCAAAAAAGTTACAAAAATTGTTTCTATTTCTCGCAGAAAATAAACAAAACAAAAGCAATGACGTTGCGGAGACAATGACGTCATATTTTTTTTTGAAAATTTCTCTTTCTCTCTCACTCTTATGGAGAAAGTAAAAATTTTCAAAAATTTAACATTTGAAAAAATAAAAATGATATTAATTAAAATTTGAAAAAATTTAAATAGAATTTTAGAACATTAGAAATGCAAAATAAAATCAGTAATAATTAAAAACAAAATTTTTTTTTAATCATTTAAAATTATAAATTTTAATTGAAAAAATTAAAAAATCTTTTTTTACTTACTGCGGTTGGTTTCGGCCAACGGCTGATCCCCATCCTGGAAAGGCTCTTGTTAAATGTTGTTATTTTTGAAGAGAACAAAAAAACACTCACTTTCGGTCCACTTGTATAAAAAGAAAAAATTGGTGGGAAATTTTTTTATATATTCGATCGCGGTTTTAAATATTGGGAACACTCCCAATAGAAAAGGATGAATTTAGTTTAAACTTTAAAATAAATTCTTTCACCCCCACGACACTTCTCGATGTTTTTGGATAAATGCTCCTTCTTCTTGTAAAAAATCCAAATTTATCCACACTTGTCGAATTTATCCAAAAAAATGCAGTCCATCCAAATGCACCAAAAAATATCCGACAGCGAGGTGTTAACCGGCCCAAGGTAAACTCGCAACTGAAGAAATGTCTGTCACGTCATTAACTATTACCGTTAATTGATATTTAATGAGTTTTTAATTTTCTCGAAATTTCGTCATTTTTCGCACTTTTAGGGGCAAAAATTAAATTTTCGGAAATTTTTTATTTTATTTTTGCTACATTTTGCGGGTAATAAATGATAAAAAACAGATGACGTAGAAGAGGTGATTACGTCATATTTTTTGGAAATTTCTCATTTTTATGGAGAAAATAAAATTTAAAAAAAAGTACAAAATTTTTTTTTATTTCTCGTAAGAAATAAACAAAACAGAAACAATGACGTAGAGGAGATAATGATTCATATTTTTTTGGAGATTCTCTCCTATTTCTTTCTCACTTTTATGAGGAAAATAAAATTTAAAAAAAAATTACAAAAATTATTTCTATTTCTGAGAGGAAATAAACAGAACAATAGGAATGACGTAGAGGAGATACTGACAGAAAACTTCTTGCAAATTTACTTATTCTCTGTCACTTTTAAGAAAAAATTTAAAGTTTTCAAGAAATTTTTACAAATTTTTACTCTGATAGTTTATAAACGGACAAAAAAATTAGAAGAAAATTATTTGAAATTTGAAAAAATGACAATAATCTTAATTATAATTTGAAAAAATCTAATTAGATAAATTATAATTTGAAAAAATTTAAATAGAATTTTAGAACATTAGAAATGCAAAATAAAATCAGTAATAATTAAAAACAAAATTTTTTTTTAATCATTTAAAATTATAAATTTTAATTGAAAAAATTAAAAAAGATTTTTTACTTACTGCGGTTAGTTTCGGCCTACGGCTGATCCCCATCCTGGAGAGGCTCTTGTTAAATGTTGTTATTTTTGAAGAGAACAAAAAAACACTCACTTTCGGTCCCGAAAACACTCCCGAAAAAAAAATCAAAAATTTAAATTTAACCGAACTTGAACACTTGTTTTCACTCCCATGGCACTTCCGAATGTTTTTGGATGAATATAAAAAAATATCCAAATTTATTCAAACATATTGAATTTATCCAAAAAAATCCAAAAAATTGCAGTCCATTCAAATTTTTCAACAAAAAAAATCCAAAAGTATCCAAAGGCACCAAAAAATATCCAAAGTATCCAAAAGTTGTCAAACGTCCCCAAAAATATCCGACAGCGAGGTGTTACCCGGCCCGAGGTAAACTCGCAACTGAAGAAATGTCTGTCACGTCATTAACTATATTACCGTTAATTGCTTTTTAATGACTATTTAATTTTCTGGAAATTTCGTCATTTTTCGCACTTTTAAGGGCAAAAATAAAATTTTTTAATTTTTATTTTGCTACATTTCGCGGGTAGCGAAAGGTAAAAAACAGATGACGTAGAAAAGGTGATGACGTAATATTTTTTTTTGCAAATTTACTCCTTAACATTTTCTCTCACTTTTATGGAGAAAATAAAATTTTTTTTAAAATATTTCAAAAATTATTTCTTTTCTCTTTTGGAGGAAATAAAGGGGAATTTTCTTTCTCTTTTTTTTATAGCAAAATATTATTTTATTTAGTTTCTGAAATATTAAGAAAATAATTTTTTATCATAATTATCCCACGTGAATAAATTAGACCGAGAAATTCCCGGGAGTCACTACCGATAAATTCACGGGACTTTTCCGGGAGTGAAAAAAAATTTCTTTTTCTATTCATTTGTTTTTTCACTTCCGGTAAATTACCGGGAGATTCCAGAGTAATTTCTGTAAATTTCTATCCAATTAAATTTATTTTACATAAATATAGATATCTTTTAAAACTTTTTAATGAAAATCATATTTTTCTTTCTTTTAATTGTGTCGACAGTATGAAGTATGAGTGTGTCTTGTAAAGAGTGGGGACGAGTTCACAGTCCTTTAAAACTAAAGCATAAGCAGGTGTGGTCAGATTAATTAGTCGCTACTCAAAGTGATAGCACGTTTGTCTTCCAATAAGGCTCAGTGAAGAATTGGAAGGATTGATTATCTCCAAGTTTTTGTACTTTTACTTGTTAAATAAATAAAGTAGAGTTGGCTCTCAGTTGAGTAACCAACTCACCAAAAATAATAATATTAGTTGTTTCTTACGGCGACAACAATTGCAATTTATATATTATTAATTATAATACAATGAGAGAAGTTGGAGTAACAATCATTTTAAAATGGCTGACTAAAATTAAATTTTGCTACTGAAAATTGAAAAATTGATTTTTTTCTTAATGTCTGACTAAAATTAAATTTTTCTACTAAAAATTGAAAAATTGATTTTGTTTTTGCTGATGTCTGACAAAAATTGATTTTATTTCCTTGTCTGACTAAAATTTAATTTTGCTACTGAAAATTAAGAAATTAATTTTCTATTTCCGTCTGACTGAATCTGACTTTATCTACTAAAATGTTGTAAAAATCTATTTTACTAAAATAATTTATTCCACCACAAATTTAAAAATTTTTTAATTTTACTTCCTCATAGAGGAAGTATTGTAATACCAAAATTTTGCGAGTTCGATTTTTTGACATATCTTTATGTTATTTGACCTCAGGAGTTTAAAAATGACATTTTTAAAAAATGTCATTCCGTATGTGTGTGTAAACATCACATTTTCGTAAATATCTCGAAATCATCAAGAGCTTTTGGGTTGAATTTTTTTTTAAATTGTAGATCTCGCCTGCGAACATAAAATGAGAGTACTTTGTGATAGATTAATAAAATTTAAATAAATTTTTTTTGGAATTTTAATTTTGCAAAAAAAAGTTTTTTGCCCATAACTTTAAAAAAATGTCAGGACACCTATAAATGTTTTTCCATAATTTTGTAGAGTTTTTTTAGACGCATCTTTTGAGCCCTAATTGAACTTTTTTCGTACATATTAACCGGAGTTATTAAACTTTTAAAAATCAAAAATTTTGGAAAATAAGACTTTTTTGAAAAATTTGTTGAAAAACGTAGAAGTAACATTAAAATTATCGTTATCAACTTGTAGAGCAGTAAAAATTCTTCCAATTCTTGAAATATTTCCTAAAATTATAACTGAAATTCTTTATTAAAATAATTCTTATCAAAAAGTTCAACTAGAATTGAATTACCTATTTAAATAAAAAATAAGTGATAAAATAATTGATTATTTCTAAAAAAAAATGCAACTGTAACTCAACTTATGGATTTTCTTTCATTTTTAGAAAAAGATCGCCAAGCCGAACTGTTTGAAGAGATGAAGAATGTTGTGGAAAAACACTGTGTTATAAATGCAAAGTTACAGGAAGCTAATCGTGTAATTGAAAGAATTGCAGCTTTACAAAGTTCCGAGGGAGAAGGTTCACAGTTCGAGGACATTCTTGAGGTTAGCAAAATTCTAATTTTCTTAAAAAATACACTACCGTCGGAAAATATCGGTACGGCTCCAAGCACATGGCCCAAAAAAATACCAATTTTTAAATCACGATTTTTCTGTGAATACAAATGTCAGAAATTTAACAAATATACCATTCGACAGCTTATAATATTCTATTACGCTGAATGATATACAATTGAAAATTTTAATAAATTACACAAAGATTTTAGCACTCGACAAATTTGAAAAAAAAATTAAATTTTCTTTGACAATTTTTTAAACTCTTATTTTTTAAAAATTGCAGACAAAATTTAAAACTTATATTAGATGTCATCCTTCAAGTCTCATCTTTAATTTAAGACCAAAAAAGTTAAAAACTCTTATTCGGTTCCCCGCTTCTTAACCCTCTGCCTACGCTGACTTATCCCCACTCTAGCGCTTTTGAATGTAATTCCCATAGTCCCCACCAGGCGACCGAATTGTCGTTTTTTGTCGATAACGGTCACTTGCGTAGGCAGAGGGTTAATGGGATGCTGAAAAACTTAAAGTGTCAACGCAAAAGAAAATTTAAATAATAAATAAAATCATTTAAGGGAACTTTCTGGTGCAGAATTAGTAAAAAAAACACTTTTTTAAACTCTTATCGTCAAAATTATGACAAATTTTTCGTCTTGATTGAATCTGACATCAGACTTTCGAGTTTCAAAATGGCGAATCCAATATGGCTGTCAAAATTTTCAATTTTTATTGGATTTGCTTGAAACTCATTACTGGATGGTGTTTGGGTCATTAATTGCACCAGATTTACAAAATTTAATATTATATGTCGGAAAAATTTGAACGTGAGCTATTTTAAATGATAACGCTGACCGACACTGATTTTGCCCCCTGAATAATTCTGCTCACTTTTAATAGATTTTGTCACACTGATTATGAATCTGTACAACAATTTTTTTGGTACAGAAAAATCTGTCAAAAACTTGATGTTAGCTCATGTCAATTTTTTGAAAATTTAGTGTTTGAAAGTAAAAAAAACACGTTTTTGACCGTCTTCAATCATAAATAAATAAAAAAAGAGGTATTAGAATTTTTTTTTACGTTCATCATGGACAATAATTTTCAAAAAAAAATAATCAGAAAGCGTTAAGATTAATAAAAATTTTTATCTTCTTATTAACGAAGATTTCTTTTTTTTAAACTCTTGAGACTTTGCAGTATTATTTTTTTAAATAATAAATTGAAGAGTTATTTTTTTTTTTTGATAGAAATACAAGAATGAAATGGACAAAATTAATCCCGATGTTTCGCGCAATAGAAACCTTGTCGATTTTAATCGTCAAATTAAGGATCTGTTGAAAGGTAAGACAAAAATTATTATTTAATTTTTTTTTATTATTGTTATTAACTAACTTATTACCATAAGCGGTAACAACGATCGACCTTGACCTTCAGTTGCCGCTTCTAGGAACAATATTTTGTAGATTATCAAAAATTGTTGAAAAATATATAAACTTTTGGTAAAAATGATTGGTGAAGCATATGAATTTGAATCGAGCGAAAAATAATAAATACTTGTTAAAACAGATGGAGAAAACGATAAATCCAAGGATAACAATGATGATGACGATGACGATGATTTACAGTGTACTCAAAAGGAGATCAATGTAGTTGATCCATTCACGAAGAAGAGAATGACTGATCCTATGAGAAATAAATTGTGTGGTCATATTTATGATCGTGAGAGTGTCACAGCTTTATTGAAAGTCAATCCACGAACTAGGTAATTAACTAATTTTTTTCGTCAATTATGTTATGTAACTCATTATGTTCATTTTTTGTTCCTCCTTTTTTTAAATTCAACTGCATTTCAATTTTTATAAAATAGTTTTTCCTGATTAAAAAAAAATGAAATGCAGTTTAAAAATTTTTTATTATTACTGAAAGCGAAAAATTGTCAACACTTGAACTTTGATAAGAATTGTTTTTTATTTGCAGGTGTCCTGTTGTTGGTTGCGGTAGTAAAGAATTTGTTACCCTGCAAAACTTGGAAGCTGATATAGTGTTAAGAACACGTTTATTAAAAATGAAAGCTTAACTTATAAAGAGTATTAAATCATTCTACTTCGGTTTAAGATTTTCTCGTTTAACATTTAAGTATTATTAATGTAAATTTGAGAAATAAATAATTTACTTTTGTATAAGAATTGTTTTTGCTCAGTAAATATTATTTTTATACCTAATCCATTGGTTCTCTTGAAAATGAAAGTGTTATTAATGTTGACACATAAACAATATTTCATTACAATTTTGTTATTTATTGCTTCTAGGGTCGCTGTTTGCAAATCTGAAGTCAGATTTCAAAAATTTTCAGGTTAACTCATAATAACTAAACTTAATAATAACGTATTTAATTAATGAAATTTTATTTTATTACTGCAGCGCTCGAACTAGGTCAATTCAATTATTTTCAAAAATTTTAATAAAACTTTTGGCAAAATTTCAATTATTTACGAAAAATTTTCTCAATTCAATGATTTTTAATAGGTAACTTCTATTCTAATAAAATTTTCCAAAAGAATTAAATTATTTTTAAAAAATTTAATAAAATTCTACATAAACTTTTCATTATTTTCAAAAAATAATAAAAATTTTATTAAAATTCGTCAAAAGAATTCAGATATTTAAAAATTTATAAATAAGATTCTTTATGAGAATTCAACTTTAAGAAACATTCAATTATTCAATAAATTGTTATTTTTGTATTTAAATAATTGAATTCTAGTAGAATTTTCTCATAAACATTGATTAAAAAATGGATTTTAGTTAAAATATTAGATTATAATTGAATATTAAAAATATTGGAGCGTAAATTTTTACAAATAATTGAATTTTTAAAAGGTTTCAAGATTAAAATTTTTGAAAATTTGAATTTTTCATATTTTTAACTAACAATTAATTCTATGGAATTAATTTTTTAAGGAACTTTAATTAAGAATTTTTTTTAAAATTATTTGAAGTTTTTATTTTCTAATACATATTTAATTGAAGAATTTACGAATAATTGAAATTTTGTAAAATTGAATTGTAAACAAATTATTTTGAAAATTCTTAAAGAACTTTTTGAAAAATTATTAAAAATAATGAATTTATAGAAGATGTTTAGTTAAAAACAAGAAAAAAATTAAATTTTGAAAAAGTTACAAATTATTGCAAAAATTCAATTATTTTCAAGAGCAATAATATTTTTCGCAAAAATTAAATATTGTTCAAAAGTAATAAAATTCTTCTTAGGAATTCAATTATTTTCACAAATAATAAAACTCATCGCAGAATTTCAATTATTTTTAATGCAATTTTAATCGAATTTCTCGAAAAATGTAATTATTCTTAAAAATTTTATTAAAATTCGTTGATAGAATTCAATTATTTGAAAATTTGTTAATAACGATTTTTTATGGGAATTGAATTTTAAGAAACATTCAATTATTCAATAAATTATTTATTTGCATTTTGTTTGTATTTAAATAATTTAATTCTATAGTAGAATTTTCTAATAAAAATTGATTTTCATTTCATAAAAATGAATTTCAGTTAAAATTTTAGATTATAATTGAATATTAAAAGCAATATAGCTTGAATTTTAAAAAATAATTGAATTTTGAAATTAATTTTTTTGAGAAAGTTTAATTGAATTTTTTTAATATTATTTGAAGTTTTTATTATTCTAATATTTATTTAATTGAAGAATTTACGAATACCTAAATGAAATTTCGTAAAATTGAATACCTATTGTAAAGAAATGGATTTGAAAATTGTCGAAGAACTTTTTTGAAAATTATTAAAAATAATCGATTTAAAGAAGAATTTTAGTGAAAAATGCTTGTAAATGATTTTATTACTCGGTCATCTTTAATTATTATAAAACATGAAGAAATCGATAACTCTGAGTCGAAGACTCGGAGTTATCGATATCTTCATGTTTTATAGTTATGAAAAATTTCATTTATAGTTTTAATTAAAATGTTTTCTTGTTTGACTCGGACTAGTTATATTTTTGTCGATAATTGGTCCGTAATTTTTCATTTTTGGTCCGACGTTTTGAATTTTTGAAATTCAACTTCGGATTTGTACTCAACAGTCCCAAGAATAATAAATAGCATAATTGTAAAAAAATATTGTTCATTTTTTGAAAATTATGAAATTTGCTCTCATTAAAATTTATAACTTATTAAATATTATTAAAAAATTAAAAAATTCCTTTTTTTATTTGAAACGAAATAAGAGGGTGAAATGATTTTAAAGACTTCTGCGATAGCTTAAAGGGTTTATTAGACTTACAAAATTAGGTACATATATAACAATATCACCAGATGTTTTAAAATAACTTGACGGAAGTTGATTGTTTTTTTTATAAACTGGAATATATTAAATAATACAAACAAGTGAATATCTTATTAAACTGCCCTACACATTATTTGTAAATGACACGAATTGTGGTGTGAAAAAGTGTCAAAAAATTAATGATAGTTCAATTGCATAAAATATTCGTTCAGTATACAAGTAATATGCACCAGTAAATTGAGAAGATTCCTTTCTTTTAAAATTATTTTAGTATTAGATTTTTAGTTTATTTTAAAAAAATACTTTTTCAATATTCTATTAGCAAAAATTTTAAAAGAAAGGAAATGCATGTATTTTTTTTTAGATTGAATATAATTGTTTGGAATTACAAAAATTTTCATTTCCTTTTGAAACAATTAATTCAATCTGATTCGCTTTTCATTTTGAAACACTAACTGCCATTAAAGTGTAATATTTACAATTGGCACATGTTTTTTAAAGCGAGTGTAAATTATTTCTAATTGACAAATTCAATTGTTTCCTGATTTGTAAAAAGTATAAATTAATTGTTTTTTAAGGCCAATTTTCTTCACCCGCGCACATATTTTTTTCGTCTGATTTTGAATGTTACGTTTTGTAACTTTTCGATTTGAATTGCATTTATGCAGCAGCCTTTTCTCCATCCGTGACGGTTGTCACACCAGAGGTGGTGGAAACTGCATCTCCACCAACAGGTTCACTTGCACAGGCAAGAGATGGGAATCTCTGGAAAAGAGCTGCTCGGTACTTTGGATGGCTGTAAAACAGAAAAATTCATATTTCATTAATCTTTTTCAAATTTTGTTAGAAATTCAATTATTTTACACTGTTCGACAATTTTCTATTCACTATCAAGTTCTTTGAAAGACAACTAAACCATTATTTTATGATGAAGTATTTTACCTGATGCCATATACAATTGGGTTATAGCATGCATTTGCTTTAGCGAAAACAGCGCCCCAAATGGTGAACAATGGCGTTAGTCTCATTGAGTCGAAGATGCCGGCGTAATTGATAACTAAGTATGGTGTCCACGCCATGAACCACAATGAAATGGTCATCAATGCTACCTGTGAGTTGGAAAGGAAAGAAATTGTAAATTTTTAAAATATTCAATCGAAACACGTCTGCACTAATAGTAAGTACATACTTTGGCGAGTTTATGTTCAGCACTCGCACTCTGATTTTCGGAGGATCGAAGTGAAGCAACATTCATTTTCTTAGCTTGCTCCCGCATTGTCTTTTCGTGGGCCGATACAGCAGCAATGATGAAGTAGTAGCTGTAGATGATGAAGAAAAGAGGCATGAAGTACACGAAGACACTGTAGACGAGGATGTAAGATCGAGAGAACCAATCTGGATTCAAATAATCAGTTCCACACGCTGTCAAGTTTCCTTCAGGGATGTATCTTGGGAAGAAAGAAAAAATTGTCAATTGTAATGACTGAAGAGCTAAAATCATAGGTGACTTATCTGATAGAAGAAAAGTGTAATAATTAATTACCTGTTCCATCCCAACATTGGGAAGATGGTCCAAACAACACCCCAAATCCAGAGTCCCAGTATTCGAAGAATTGCTCCACTGATTGTTAGTGGTTTACCGGCCAATCCTTTGACGATAACATTGTACCTGTCAAAGGAAATCATCGTCATCGTCCAGATGGAAGCACATCCGAACAAGGATCCAGTCATCGCGTACAACTCACACATGAACGGACCCAATACCCATGTCTCATAATAACAGCTAATTACCTGCAATTAATAAGAAATTTCATTTAGAGGACAAATTTTTCTAAAAATAAGGTCTTAGTGAGGCCAATGAAAGAGAAAAATACACTTTTAATAGGTGGAAGAAAATGTTGTAAATTTATATTAAAAGTGAAAAGCTAACCATAGCTGGACACATGCACAACATCATGCAAAAATCAGAAAAAGCCAAATTGATGACGAAAAGATTGCTAGGTGTTCGGAGAGATTTTGTGGTGCTGAATATAAAGATGACCATTCCATTGCCAACGAAAGAAATGAATCCCAAGCATCCGATGACGAAGCCCAAGATACCGTACCATAGTGAATTCATTGGTGGAAAGCCGTACCAGTAGGAGTCAATCATGTGGAGCATGTCCGGCAATGCTTTGTCCACCACAGTCTGATTGCCGAAACCTCCTCCATGGCCACCCCAAGAATGGGGTGCGAAATTGGGTCCGCTCATGATCGTCATTCTGAAATCAGAAAATTTTAGTAATTATTCCGGCTTGTCATCCCTCCTCAGTTCAGGGAAGACAATAAAAAGTCAAGAAAGAGGAATTTGGTCAATTGGAAATTATACAATAACTTTACTGACCAAATTCCTATTTCCTGATGCTGTACCCTAGTAGAAATTTGTCATAGTATCTTTAAGGGCACTGGACAGTTCCACTGGAAAATTTCGAGGCACTTTACAGTTAAACTGGCTAAAAACTATAAAGTGATGTCACGCTAATTTCTTCAAGTTATTGTCCAGTCAAATTTTACAGTTTCTGATCATCAGTCCTGTAGAAAAACTATACAAAATAATTCACTTGGAAATGTCAAAACTTTCTTTATATTGACGTTACGTATTAAACACGTACAAATTTGAAAATATAACGTTAAATTTTTTTGTCAACAAATTAAATAAATTAAAATTTTACGAAACTATATTTTTACTGTTGGTGTATCTATTGTTCCGTATAATAAATGATTTATAATAAATTATCTGTAAAATTATTTTTAAATAACTACATAATTAAAACAAAATATAAAAATTACTGATTCTTGAACACATGTCATTTTTTTACATTAAACAACATTCACTTTTTCCTTTAATTAAGCACAACACTGAAATAAATATTATTATTTTATCACACTACAAACTTATAAGTAAACCCTAATATGAAGAATTAATTCAGTTCAAACGAAAAATATCTAGCGGTTTCGGGGAGCGAACTCGGGTCACACTGGGACGAAATACCTAAACGCACGCTTTACGCATCACGGCCGTTCTAGTCGATGGACGATTCCGGAAAAATAAGAACCATACTCTACCGGCAGGTAAAGCAGTTCCCTTTTTCATCTTTTCTAGCTCAACTGGCGAATTACTGGACAGCTACTGCATAACACTCTAAAGTTGAACTTATTGATTATTACTGTATAGAAGTTCTGTCTGTCCAGTTATTCTCATGGTACTGTCTAGGCGTTCCGTGAAATTATGTTTCAAAGTTTGTCGTGGCGTTAGCGCTACCGTCAGTCCAGCAACTGAACAGTGTTGTGTAGACATTTTCCATAAATACATCAGAGTATACACTGAAAGAAATAATTCGCGGGTGTAACTAGAATTATGTCTATTTTTTCCGTAAGGAATTAGTAATAAATTGTTACTGTCTACTGTCATTAATTATAGACAGTTCTGTTATTCAGATCGGAGAGCTATACATATGTCAACGTCAATTCATCAATGTAAAACATAACCTCACTTTATTGGACCAATTCTAACTTTTTGTATGTAACACGTTTGTTAAATTAATATTTATACATATAATAAGAGTATATAATCTTGAAAAGAAATTGTCTTCTGAATTTAAAAAATTAGTTATTTTAATTAACTCAATTAATTGAAGCGAATTTAAAAAAAATTTTTTTTTTCTAAAGGAATTTTCATTAAAAATAAATTTTGATTGAAAAGAAATTTTTATTATTAAATCAAAATTTTAATATTAAATAATTTAAAAAATTTGTTATTTAGTTGTCAACAGTAAAATAAAAGAACAAAATTAAAATTATAAAAACTATAAACTGTAAAACCAAAAGATTTATTTTATAGAAAATATTTCGAAAATGTCAATACACAACTGTTTAGTTACTGAAACTGGCGGTAGCGCTAACGCCACGACAAACTTTGGAACATCATTTCTCGGAACGCCTCGACAGTGCCATGAAAATAACTGTACAGGACTTCTATGCAGTAATAATCAAGTTCAACTTTATATTTTCTTTAACAGTGTTATGCAGTAGCTGTCTAGTAATTCGCCAGTTAAGCTAGATTAAACTTCCATGACTAAAACTGTACAGTAACTTGAATAAATCTAGTCATGCCACGACAAATTTCTACTAGGGTAGGGGCCAAGTCAGGTAATATCATCAAAAGTACTGGAAAAACATCCAATTTTTTAAAATACTGGAAGAATTCATTTATTTTTGGTGTTCTTTGAAAACCTCAATTTTCTCTTAGATTATTTTTCATTTTAACCTTTATGGGACTGAGGAAAAAACATCTATGGACGGACGAGGTATCCGGGTACCTATGTTTAATTTTTTGATTTCTTATGGATATTATTATTTAACTATAGTAACTAAATTACATATTTTTTAAAAAAGTTATGTGCAGTACTATAAAAAGGGTACATTATAAATAATATAAAAACACTTTGCATGGATAAATTTGAGATGTCAAAAAACCTTAGGTCGATAAGATTTTAAAAATCATGAAAAAAATCAATTCGAAAATGCAAAAGGTACCCGGGTACCTCGTCAGTCCCATAAAGGTTAAAAAGATTGAAAACATCATGAATTAAAAAGTAAATGCTTACACTTTTGTATATATTAAAAAATAATTCAACTTTAAAGAATATGTAATTGAATGTATTTTATATAATTTAATTCTGGGAGGATTTTTTTAAAAATATTCTTTTATTATTTATTTAGGGAATTTTGCGTAAAACTTATAAAAATAATTAAACTTTGGAATCTTAAGTTTCTTCACTTTAAAAACTTCGACAGACTATAAATTTTGATTTCATATATTATCCAGTTTGCTTTTCGTAGAATTTTCTAATAAAAATTGATTTAAAAATAAATTTCAGTTAAGGGGTCGTCCATAAACCACGTAGCCCCTTATTTTCTAATATATATTTAATTAAAGAATTTTTGAATAATTTAAATTTCGTGAAATTAAATTGTAAACAAATGGATCTGAAATTTCTCAAAGAACTTTTTTCAAAAATTATTAAAAATAATTTATTTAAAGTAGAATTTTAGTTCAAAATTCTAGAGAATAATAATTGAATGAAAATAATGAAAATAATCCTAAAGAAGTTACAGTAACAATATTCTTATAATATAAAATAATGATTTTATCACTCGGTCATCTTTAATTATTATTATTATTATAATTTGATGAATTTCAAAAAGGTTTGGATTTGAAATTGTTTGAAAATCTTAATTCCTATGGAAAAATAATATTGATTAAATATTTGTCTAAAAATTGTTATTTGATGGAAAAGAAGAATTAAAAATTCTAGTGTAAAGAAAATAAATTAAATTATTTTTGCAAATATATGTACATTACAAAAAGTATGTATATAATAATTACATAACTTTTGACTTATTAGGATAATTAAATTAGCATATTAGGATAACAAGTTCAGAAGAAAGCAAATTAGGATTCTTATATAATTAGATTGAAGGATAAATAGATATAAAAAATAGTATTAATGATTTTTTAAATATAAAATTTCCACTGGTACACAGATTTACAACTTTAGACTATAAAATAAAGTTTTTTGAAACGAAAAACATAACAAATATTTTTGTTTTAATAAGTAAGAAATAAACTTTTTATACTAATTTCTCCACTTTCACAAAAATATTCTCTGTTGATGCTTTTATTAAAAAAGTTTTTATCAATTTTTATTTATGTAAAATATATATGTTTTTATATATATTGTAATATTGAATTACCTTATGAAAAGTCAGTCAAATTAGTATCAAACGAAAATAAAATTTACAAAATCTATTTTTTATAATTATTTTACCCCACACAGCACCGAAAGTTTTCTAAAAATTTATTAAAGATTTACTTGCAATCTTCGAAAAATTTACTTGCAAAGTTTAGTAAAAATTTTGTAAAGATGTCTCACTTCAATAAATGTTTATTTTCCTAAAAATTTAGTTTGAAACTTGCCTGAACATTTAACTTAAATAGTCCAAGATGTATATTTTGTCATTTTATTCGTCTGATCATGAAAATAATAAAATGACAAAATATACATCTTGGACTATTTAAAATTGACACTGATCAACAACTTTTACATCTTATTATTTAATTTAACTTAAATTTTCGACTTTTCTCTTATTATGTGAAAATGTAGCGCAAAACTTTGCTGAAAATTTATTGAAGTGGGACATTTAAATCTTTACAAAATTTTAACTCAACTTTTCAAGTAAATATGTACTTCGAAGTTTGCAAGTAAATGTTTAATAAATTTTCGGTGCTTTGTGGGACATTACATTACATTTATATTTTATTTATTTTATTTTGAAGTATATTTTGTAATTATTAATATTAGCTTCAGTACTAAGGAAAATGTTAATTATTATTTTTATAATGGCTAAAAATAATTAATTAAAAAATAAAATACTATCAAAGGAATACAAAAACTTGTTTACATAACAATTGATGGTGAAAAAAAGACTTTGTTAATGTTTTCATAATTTATTATGGTCAAATTCAGTGATCACGTGTTTCCATAGTAAAGTATATGAAGCATATCGTCTGCTTGGTGGAAAAGTGTACCATTTGAAGAATTCGTTATGAACTTTTTCATTTTTTTTCATTTTTCATTCAAATTTTGGTAGATGTTTATAAAACATACCATTTCGAGAAAAAAAGTTTTTTTTCCAAGTTTGTCAACACTGTTGCAAGACATAAATAAGGTTATGCATTTTTAAAAAGAGGTTTCTTAAGAATTCTCTTGTCTATCTTATCAATGTATTTTCTCAAACTTTCTAATAATTTAAATAAATTGTTTATTAACCATTAGGAATTCTTTAGTACAATTGGTATCTTTTATAACAAACTTTTGAATTGGTATTGTTGAAATTGTACAGTTTTCCACCAAGCCAACGTTATGACCTAAAACCCTTTTCAAAATTCATGATTCACTTCCATGTCACACATAATTTTTTAAAATAAATTTTACTCTATTGCTATGAGAAACGACTTTCATCAGTCACAATTAATTGAAAGAAGCAAAAAAGTATTAGAATCCTGCGAGATTATCTAACCGCATCGATACTGATTCTAATAAAGTATAAAATTCTTGTAAAATTACCTTTTCCTTCAATTAATAAAAAACGAATCAAAATAAGTTATTCCAAAGGTGTATGTTGTTAAAGAAAATATATGCACTGTGGGTTAATAATTTTGTGAAGGATATTGGAAAAGGTACCTCGGAGCTCTTCGGTCGGGTGCAGCTCGTTTAGTCGACTGCAAATTATGTTTAAATATGCACCAATATTGTAACGCGTAGCATTCATATGTACTCTTCTTCATGCATTAAATATATGTCTATCTCATCTAAGTCGACAAACAGTCTTAAGACGCCACTTATTGGATAATATAAGGTTTAGGAATACCTTCGGGTACCTTTAGTGATACAATGGAAACCTTACAACGATACAACAAGAATAAAACCAATGGAACTTTTGTTTAACACCCTTGCTCTTGAATATATATCAGCAACATCAAGATATAGGGTCAAGTTTATTATATCTTCTCGAGCGAAACATTTTTTCTTTAACGAAATACATTACATTTTATTTAAATCAAAGAAATGCCGTATTACCGCTTAACAGAACATTTTGAAAACACACTGACAGGCAAGGTTGAAAACATAAATTTTACTATTAACTAACATGACTTATTAATAATATTTTTCCATTAGGCTAAAAGTGTCAAGGTAGACTAGACCATGGTCTCAACAAGTTTTTAATATTTTTTATAATAATTAAATTTGTTTATTATATTATATTAAAATATTAATCAATATTAAATTAAAACTTTGTAGCTGACCAGCTTAAGGGCATGTGACTGTAAGGTCACGTGATTCCAGATGTAAATGTTCTCCGTAGGTTTTCTTATAAAATAGGATAAAGTTACTCCATTTCTAAAATTGCTTTTAAATTTAATAATAATTATTGATATTTTCGAGAATCACTATTATGCTTTTTAAATTTGTAATTTTATATTTCTTCAATATATGTAGATAACGACACACATTGTACAATCAACAAATATATAATTCATCTAAATAGAAATACAAAGGATCATAACATAATAGTTCACTTAAAATATTTATTTATGACACAAGTGCATAAAGTAAGTGATTATCTCTCGTAAGATATTTTACATACATTAGCGCCATCTTTTCTATTGTTTGATTTTTGTAAATTTTTGACCTCATCAAAAACAAAGAAATTTTTTTTGGTGTCATCAAATACGTTTTTAAAGCAATTGTATATTTCTTAATGCTTTAATTTGTTTAAATAATTAATTTTTTAAATTTTTTATTATCTAAATGACATGACACGAGCTTTTAGTTTAACATGCCGTAAATTTACTTCTTTCATTATAATTGTCGAATTTTCTATTTCAAATATTTTAATGAATAGGTATTTTATATATATATATGATTTTTTTAAAAACTTTTTACAAATAAACTTTCATATGTTATATGAAAATATAGTGTAAATATAAAAAATATGCTTTTTGATTTTTTTGAGATAGATTTTTTAATTTTGTTCTGCATTGAACTTTTCGTGCGACTTGCATGACAGCGCCTTGAGATTCTTCAATCCATCAGCCTTGAGAGATAACTGATCCTCGTAAATAGTATATTCAAATTGTTATTTTTGTTTTTTCATATAATATTTTTAACAAATTAATATTTTTTGTTAACAATTATATAGTTTTCTTTAAATTTAATTTTAAATTTTTCTGAGATACGACAATATTTATGATTTGAAATTCAATAAAACTGCAGAATAAAAAATTTTTAGTTTTTGTGCATCATTATTAAAAATAAATATACTTACAAAAATCCAAAAAAAGTTGCTTATTTTTATTTATTAATTTATTAAAATTTACGATTTTACTTTTTATTTTTTGACGGTCTTGACCTGGTCTTGACTACCATTAGAGCCTCAATTAGTTTTAATAAATTTTATTAAAATATTTTTGAAAAAAGTGACTCCTAGAATTTTTTCATTCTAATCTTTTAAAATTTAATTTTTAATATTTTGAATTATACATATTTTCGAAAATTAAAATATAAACAAACCTTTTTGAAATTAAACAACTTATAAAAAAATTATTATAAAACATGAAGAAATCGATCACTTCGAGTCTTCGACTCGGAGCAATCGATATCTTCATATTTTATAATAATTAAAGATGACCGAGTGATAAAATCATTATTTAATATTATAAGACTTTAAAAAAAAAATTTATTATTTTTTATCAAAATAATTGAATTATTGGGAAGAAATTTATAAAACATTATAATAAGTAATTGAATTTTGCACAAGAATTTTGATATTTACAAAGATAATTGAAATTTTGAGGAGAATTTAAAAAAAAAATTTTGAAAATAATATAATTTCTGCAAAGAATTTTCTTAATTTTGAAGATAATTGAATTTTGCAAAGAATTTTATCAGAATTTTTGAAAATACATAATTAATTAAATTTCCAGCATGAATTTTATTATTCATGAAGATAATTAAAATTTTGACGAGAAATTTAAGAAACAATTGAAAATAATTGAAGTTTTAGGATGAATTTTATTATTTATAAAGATAATTGAAATTTTGACAAGAATTTTATTAAAATTTTTGCAAATAATTAAATTTCAGTGAAGAATTTTATTATTTATAAAGATATAATTGAAATTTTGAACAGATTTTTTTTTTTTAATGTTTAAAAGTAATTGAATTTTGCAGAATTTTGATATTTATAAAAATAATTGGAATTTTGAGAAAAATTGAAAAAAAATTCTTGAAAATAATTGAATTTTGCAAAGAATTTTATCAGAACTTTTGAAAATAATTAAATTTCTATGGTGAATTTTATTATTTATGAAGATAATGACGAGAAATTAAAAAAAAATTTTGAATATAATTGAATTTTTGCGAAGAATTTTATTACTTTTGAAAATAATTGAATTTCAGAGAAGAATTTTATTATTTATAAAGATAATTGAAATTTTGACAAGAATTTTATTAAAATTTTTCATAAATAATTTAATTTCGGAGAAGAATTTTATTATTTATAAAAATAATTGGCATTTTAAAGAGAATTTAAAAAAAAAATATTAAAAATACCTAATTAAAATTTTGCTATGAATTTTATTAAATTTGATTCCGGATTGTTTGATATTAAAGTATGTGTTATCGAGAAATGTGTTTTTTTTACAATTTTGACAATTTCGTGTTTTGTTTTTGTCGTTTTTTCTAAAATTTCATGCGACTTTTTCGGAAATTTTATACGACTTTTCGTGACTTTTGTTGTGAATTTATGCGGCTAAAGCGATTTTTTTTTTTTTTTAGTTTTAAAGACGATCCGAGCCCTGTAAAGCAGATCTTTCTTCATATACTTAACGAGGGATTAGAAATAAAAACATTAACAAACAGGCAGGGAAAAGTAATATAGTTTAAAAATAATAGTTTGCTTTTATTGATTAAAGAACTCATTAGTTATATATGTTTTACATAGATTCTACTTTTATATATTTTCTATAAACAAATAGAAATTTTTATACAATTTAATTATCGATGGTACCAGCATACGCCGCATTGAAGTTTCAAACTGACTTATGTTAGTGCTTAGCATTAGAGAAAACTAAACGTGCATTTGTCACTTTGGATTGAAATATTTAATTAGCACACTATATTCCCTGCCCCGATAGGAACTCCCAAGGTGGTCACCCTGAGAGCTCAGCGTGCATTGAGTTTGTATCGGTGGGGTTCTTATTGTCAACCAGTTAATTATAGCCTGGTGGTAAATATAATCTTTAATATTATTTCTAACAACAATTTATTATTGCACAGTGACACTTAAAACACTTTATGTAATATTTCTATCAAAAATAAAGAGAGCATTATGCTTTTTAAAATATTTCCGTCCCTTGTGGCATTTTGTGCCAAAAATACATGTGAAAGAATATTGTAGAATAGAAATAAATCTGAACTCTTAAAAACATGATTAATAATATCTTTTTTTATGCCTCCTTCGACTCGTTTACGTATACGATTTAAAATTATGTACAGAAAATTAAAGTAATTGACAGATGTTCGTTGGGGCAAAAATTTCAGGTTACATTCTACTATAAATGCTCGTACACTGGGTTCTTTATAGGTTTATAAACAGTATGGAAATCTTCAGGAAGCCCTTTTCGTACAGGATTTAAAGATTTTTGTTTAATAGCTTATTCAACAACCCTATGGTTGTTTGCTTTACGGTCAACAAATCCTATGCGAGATTCTTGTAGTTTTCCTAACTGTTAACAATTATTTTACTGAACAATCATTTTATCACCGACACCCCGAAAAACATTATCTGAATTGCCTAGTCAGAACTACTTCTCACCAAACTATTTCACTAATACTGGTATCAACTAGACAGTACCAAACTTTAATGTGCTTCTTAGGTAACACTTAGGTGCTTTAAACATTTTGAAATCAAATTGTCTAGTGAAAACTAATATTAAGTGAAAAAGTTTGCACAATATATAAGACAGCTCGTAAGGAAGAGCACAACATCAAGACATCTAAAATGACAACTTTGCCCAACAACATTTTTCAGCAATACTCAACAAATTGATGCGCAAAAACAAGAGCAGTTCAAAAACAAAAAAAGAACATATATTTTGACTTTATAGGAAAGTAAATATATAAATTTTTCTCAAAAGAAAGTATAATACTTGAAAAGGCTTTAAACATTAGTTACACATTTAGTACATTCTTAGTTTGGCAATGACAGTTTGTAAAAAATTAATTGTCAATTACTATATACCACCATTTGAAAAATAACACAACTTTCATTATGATTATAAAAAAATAGTTTATCTATTTATTTCTGGCACAAATGAAAACCAAAACCAAAACAACAAAAGCAGTTATTTTAATACCATCTTTCAGGAAATGAAATACTCATTAATTTCTTTTGAGTTAAAATTTTTTCTTTTTGAAGCATTATTCATGCTTACAGATAAATACAGTATAGTATTGTTTCAACACATTCTAATGTTCCTCTTTAAAATTTTATAGTTTCAGTTATCACAATCTGGTTCATTTTCAACCATTCTAATAAATATGATGCCAAAAACGTAATTTTAAGGGGTAAGCGGCCACTGTAGATATTTCAAAAAATCGATTTCTTTTATTAGTTAAAACAAAATTCTTTGAACCTTGTTTTTTCAAATGTGACGCGCTCCCAAGAAAGTTACCAAAGAAGCAAACAAATTATAGGTTATGGTTCGTGTTAGATTTATCTTGATTATAAGTTTATTTTTAATTATTTGAATTTGAAGCTAATTTTCATTGAATATTTAGTATATATATAATGAAGACTTGAAGATCAATAATTTTTAATTAATAATTGATTCTCTTTCTGTATTTTTACTAAAAAATTAAAAACATAACCTCAAATTTTTTGTTTCTTTGGTACCTTTCTTCGGAGCGTAACACAAATACTTGCCAATTACACAAAAATCAATAATTTTTAAAAATCATGTGGCCTTTTAAGATCTGAAGCCTCAATTGTATTCCCTTTCATCAGAAAATTTTTTTTAAAAACGTGTTTTTTTTGCGTTTACAGTGGCCTTACTCCTTAAAATGAATTAATAATATATCTATAAACATGAAACTCATAGCTAAACTTTGTAAACTTTATATATATATATATTTGATATTTATATACTTTGTCATCGAAACTAATGCCATCGTTGATATTCCAGTTTATTCGTTGAGAATGCAGGTACGCACAAGAGCGTCGCAAACGGAGTATGGATCACAATTGCTGCTGGGTCTTCGGTCCTCGAGATATCCTTTCTTGTCTTCGGCGACGCCTCGCGGAATGCGGATGCTGACATTTCTGCTTGCAACTGCAGCGGAGAAATCGTTTATACTACTTGTTTCGCATTTGCCAGTTAGACGTCTCTCGTTATCCTTTCCTTCATTTGGATCGTAGGCTTGAATGTGCTTCATGTGTCGCTTACTGAGTTTCTCAATGGCCTTTTCAATTTCCACAATTCCATTGTCCATTCTCATGCCTTTTGTGGAGAAGTTGGTGTGCGCACCGGCTCCATTCCAAGAGCCATCAACGGGTTTCGGGTCCAGAGTTGTGATCACTCCGTATTCCTCAGCAATGCGGTGGAGGATGAACCTGGCTATCCAGAGATCGTCTCCGCCCTTGATGCCGACGCAGGGTCCCACTTGGAATTCCCACTGTGAGGGCATCACTTCTGCGTTGGTTCCGGATATGTTGACTCCAGCGTACAAGCAGGCGCGGTAGTGAGCCTCGACGATGTCTCTGCCGATGACCTTGTCTGCTCCCACGCCGCAGTAGTAGGGACCTTGTGGTCCGGGGAAGCCGTTCTTGGGCCATCCCAGGGGCCTGTTGTCAAAATCTAGAAATGTGTACTCCTGCTCGATTCCGAACCATGGCTCGGAAGAGGCGACGGTTTCCATTGCCTTATTGGCGCTGTGACGCTTGTTGCTCTTCGTTGGTGTCTTGTCAGGATTGAAGGTTTCACAAAGGACCAATCTATTGTTTCCCCTACGGAAAGGATCTCTATAAATAGCTACGGGGTGTAAAAATATATCACTGTTTCCCCCCTCGGCTTGATATGTTGAACTACCATCATAGGTCCAAACTGGTAAGTCTGTAAATGAAAATTTTATTATGTTATTTATTGTCATTAGGTGCATTCTAGATAGAACTTGTTAGTGTCAAAAAAGCACTAAATTCCAATAAGTGGATGTTCCCTTTATAGCTACTTACGACAAAAAATATAAAATGCTCCAAGTAAATTATTAATAAAATAAGTTATCATTATCTAACCAAACTAATATCTTACACAATTATATCAAAGTGTTTTTAAAGTCGACGGTTGCAAAACATTAGTTAGATTTTTGTCGGTCATATTTTTTTGAACTTCTCGTATTCGGGTTTGAATTAACAAAAATGAAAAAAAATTTTATTTAAAAAATTAAAAGCATAACATTAAATTATTTGGAGCCTATGGTGCCTTTCGTGGCAGATATGTATTTTAGTAAGAATTTAAATAATCAGATATGTATTTTGTCATGTTATATAACATACCTGAAGGGTGTTTTGGAACAAAGTCGAGAGTTCTTGTTTTGCTTCTGATTCCCTCACCAGTGCCATCAATCCAGATATACTTTGCTTGCACCGCATTGTCCGGCTGCGGCAATTCCATATACTTGTTTAGTAATGTTTTATCTAAAGCCGCATTGGGCGAATCCTTCAACATTGTTCGTGACATTGTTGTGCTGCAACAAACAAAATTTAAATTATTAGAAAAACATCGGGAACATCTAACTTCATGTAGTCAAAGAAATTTTCAACCAAGATTAATTTCAAATAAAGTTATAATTGATTTTAAAGTATATTCTTTACGTAATAGTTGTTAATAAAAATTTCAAAATTAAATTTGCGTAAGAAGTGTTAATAAGTGCATAAAATTGAATTCTATGAATAGTTTCGGCGAATAAAGTTATGTAATATATAAATGCGTCATAAAAATGTATATATATATATATATATAAAAGTTACTTTATTAATGTAATAAAGTAATGTAACAAGAGTTTTTAATGGTCATACATTACTTGGAAATTTATTGTTAAAAACAATTAGAGCCAGCTGCTTTTTACTGTCAATGTATTTTTAATACTCTCTAAATCTGAATTAGTAATTTCCTACCAATGAAATAGTGCGTATTCGTTTACCAATTGAATTAGTAACAGTTTTTAATTTTTAGTAGTTTTTTAATAATTGCTAGTAGAAAACTGCTAATTCATTAGCAAGTCGTATTTTTACTAATTCAAATTAGTAAGTCGAATTACTACATGAATTAGTAATTTTCTACTAGCATTTAGAAGAAAACTTAAAATTAGTCGAAACTGTTACTAATTCAATTGGTAAACAATCCTCACTATCTTTGTGCTTTTCATCAAGACGGTTAATACTTTAAAACTTATCATACATGCCTCAATTCTCCTAAATAATGTCAATTAAGCTCTTAAAAATGTTTTTCAGGCTCTGCATTTGGAAAATTTGTTCTTTCACTTAAATTTATAAAAAAAAAATCTTTATGAAGGAGTAAAGTGTTCAAAAAATAAACCCATTTGCAGCGGTTTTTTAAAAAATTATTTTCTCACAAAAAATGAGAAGGTCTTGGATTTCTTTTATTATGTTAGTAAGGTAAGTGTATAATTTAGAGAGGTATCGCAATTGTTGATCATGATAAATGAAACGATCTTTATATATTTTAAAGTCCATAATAATCTGTTCCATATTAAATGACATCCAACAGTTTTCGAGACAATGATTCGAGAATTGGTGCGCTAAACTTTTTTCGTTAATAAGTGCAAATTGTCCTAACAACAAAATAAAACTTGTTAATTCAACGCTAATAAATCATCTTTTTTCTCAGAGATGACTCCATAATAACTGCGATATAAAAATTCTATATAGAATTGCGCAAAAAAAGAATTTTCAGTTTCCGAGTTAATTTAAAAAGTATTTTGAATTTCACTTGTTTTTAGGGAAATATACGACTGAATTTCAGTGAAAATTTTACTGAAGTGCTTCAGACGATAAATTTCAAATACTTTAACAGTAAAATTTCGCACTAATTCAAATTTAGTGACAGTAGAAAATGACTGATTAATAAAAATTTTACATCTATTTTTGAATTTTAGTCAAGTAGAGAATTGAGAAAAATTGAGGGACTGGATGCTATAAGGGGATACGCGCCATTCACTTAACATGAGACGTATCCCCTTATAGCATCCAGCCCCCTCAATTGTATTTTCTGCCACTATCATGATAGTACTTTATTATTTCGAAGAAAATGAAAAAACTTTAAATAAAATTTATTTGAGAAACATTTAAAAAGTTTTATTCACATGTACTCTACTACTCAATTCAGAAAAGAATGCTATTAAATCATGATATATTTGTTTTGTCGAAAAAAACATAAAAAAATTTAAACACAAACATCATCATAAATTTCTTTTGATATAAATTTGAATTTGACACAAAATTAATTTAATATAAAATTCATTCGACATATACTTCATTTGATATAAAATTCATTTGACATGCATTTGAATTTGACACAAAATTCATTTAATATAAAATTCATTTGACATAAATTTAATTTGGTAGAAACTCATTTGACATAAAATTAACTAGACATAATTTTCATTTGGCATAAAAGTCATTTAACATAATTCTCATTCGACCCAAATTTCATTTCACATAACTCTCATTTGACACAAAATGAAGTCGACATAGACTTCATTTAACAAGAAGTAAATTCGCCCAGATATTTTTATGTCAAATAAATTTTAGGTCAAATGAGAATTTTGTTTAATTACTTTTATGTCAAATGAGAATTGTGTTAAATATCTTTTATGTTAAATGAAATTTATGTCAAATGAAATAAAAAAATGTATTTTTACTTTAAATGGAGATTATGCTAAATGAGTTTTATGTCAAATGAAATTTATGTTAAATTAATTCCATGTCAAATGAAATGTATATCATAAATTTTGTCTAATGAAATATATGTCAAGTGAATTTCAAATTAAATGTTTTTTATACCAAATAGATTTTATGTCAAATGAAATTTATATTAAATGGTTTCATGTCAAATGACTATTATGTCAAATAAGATTTAGGGAGTAGTCATGCGTCTCAATTTTTTTTTAATAAAATTGTATCAACCCTACTTCTCAACAATTTCAAATACTTTACTAGACAACATTATGCTTCTAGTTGTAAATTATAAATTATTAATTAATATTAATATAGGTACATTAAAATATATATTTTAATGTACCTATATTAACTTAATTAAATGCAGAAATTATTGCTTCAAAAAAATTGAATTCAATAGCATTGGCGCTATTGAACCAATAGTTCTTTTTTCTCAGTGTACTTTCTCCCAATTCGATTTAATTACTTTTTTGCCTCTTTTTTCTCTAATGAAATGAATTTCATCATGAAAATAAGAAATATTCCAACTTTGACAAAAGTTTAAGAGTATTTTTCCACACGTGTTGCGTCTTTGGCATTTCTATATACATATTTAACATTCTCTTTCTAATGAAAGTATTTCGTTATATGTATAGTGTTTTCATTCATTTGCTAGTTAACTACTTAATCAATTTGAGAAAGAAACAGTGAAAGATAATAATTGACTCATATGCGTGAGTTTGATTGGATGTTGTGTTATAGTAGTTATACACACTTGTTACCAAAACGTAGGCGTATTCACGTGTGAGAGAATTCACGAGCTGAGCACGCGATCAATGCATGAAGACCAGGGCTGGTTGGAAGATTAGTAGCTTGCGAATTTTTTTTTTCTTTTTTTTTCTTTCATTAAAAACGATGTGTTGTAGTCTAAAAATAAGCTAAATGCAGAGTTTACAAAATTCAAGTCCAATTCATTTTTATTCTGAAACGTATTTTCAAAAGGATGTTTTTTGCAAAAAAAAAGGCTACCAATTTTCAAGTGCAAAAATAAAATGTTGTTTTTGATAGGAAAAAAGCTGATTCTTTGTAATTTATCAAAATCATTTTTCTAAAAAGTGTTTTTTAAAGAATGTGTTTATTTATTTTTAAGTGTTTAATAAAATATTAAAATAATTTATTTTAATATTTCATAAAAATTTGGCGCGCTACGAAGTAAGGCACTTAAGAAGCGCAAAAATTCTAGATTCCAAGAATGAAAATTTTTAATTGTGATTGACTTTAAACTTTAGTAAACTCTTTAATTCAAATGAGAAAAAAAACCTTTTCTCAAATGAAAATAACGAATCCATTAAATATTAATTCATTTAATCTGAATCTGTTAACAGTGGAAGAGGTTAAATTGTTGACATTTTAGGCGATATATTGTCATTTTCAAATTTGTCCTAACAGTGATAAACATTACATTATGAAATTTACTTTTTATTCAGTGTATCTGTAAAAAATGATGTTAATAAGATTAATCATTTGAGAACTAGACATGTGTTGAAAAAGCAGACGATGTAAAAGAAATAAAATCTTAAATAAATACGTAAGTGTTTTGCAAGAGTTCACTGACTTCTTCTTTTCGTATACTTTTATCCATTATCAATTATTTATATTCCCATCAGTTAATCGCAATCTGTTTGCTGTTGATCGCACATTTTAATTTAAAATTTTTTTACGCTAATTTTAATTGTCTTTTCTTCTACATTGTCTTTTCTTTCCTTAATAAATTTGCAATTTTATATTTATTTGAAACGATTTTTTCAGCTATTGATGAGAATAGTATATATGTTATTATATCGAAACATATTAACTTTTATCCATTTGCTACCCTCTCAACTTGAAGGATTGAATATTTTATGCACCTTACATTTAATTGACGCATTTTTCATCTCATTTTTAATACTTTCGTATAAAATTTGAATAAAATGTTAATTCTTCATTTTTTTTAAAAAAAAGTCTCTTTGGAATTTGGATCAAACTTTTTATTTTTTAAATATTTTCATTGAAAAATGAATGAAAAATGAATTTTTTTCATTAAAATGAAAGATGAAATAAGTGAAAGCATTAAAAATAAAAAGGTCCTTAATTTGCAAATAAATTTTACTTATTTCGATTTTGGTATAGTGTAAAAAATAACTATACACAAACCTATTAAACATTATTTTTGAATAATTTTTCTAATTAATTTTTCGAAATAACTAAAAAGATTTTCAATAATTGAAATTTTGTAAAATTTAATTGAAAATAATTTATTTTCTTCAAGTATTTTATTACAATTTTTGTTGGAAAATCAACTTTTGAAGAATTTAAATGCAAATTTTGAAAATGATTGAAGTCATTCTAATTTTTTAAAATTCAATATTATTTTTAATATTTTCAATTACATATTCCCGAAATTATAATTTTTTGAAAATAATAAACCTTAATAATTTTAAAAGAAAACATGGACAGTATTACAATTATTATAAAAAATTGAATTTTCGTATTTAAATAATGGAATTCTGGAAAAGCTTTCGAAAAATTATTAAAAATAATTGATTTAGAGATGGAGTTTAGTTAAAAATTGTAGAAAATAATTGAATTTTAGAACGGTTGTGTTGAAATTTTTAGAAATTATTAAATTTCAAAATGTTTTAAATCAGTGAAAAGGTCAGGGAAATACAAAATAAAAAGTGACAGCTCTGAATTAAATAAATGACTTTTTCGAATCTTTTCTTTTTAATCAACTAAAGAAACTTTTTTA